GCGGGGCAAGCCCGGGGGTGCAGAGGAGATTGGGCGGAGGGGCACAGAGATTCACGGACCGTGCTCCCCAGGCTTCTAGGGAGAAACCAGAGGGTCTCAGCCCCCCGGGGATGCCCCTGCACTCCTGGGGTGACGCCCCTCCCCCACCTGCAGCCTCACCTGCATGCCCACTGTTGATAAGGGTGAAGGGCTTGTCTCCAGGGGTCCGGTATCCCTGGGGTTCAATAGGCTGCAGGGTCGGGTCGTGCTGCACCGCTTTGGTCTGGATGTCGATGGGGGACTGGGCCTGTCCCCTGCAGTCCGGGAAGTCATCCGACCAGTGCTCCTGGCCGTGGGGGCCTGGAAACAGAGAGTGCGGGGGGTCAGGCCCCATGGGGGCAAAGGCAGGGAAGTGTCTCTACCACCTGGATTTGTGTGTGGGCCAGTTCCAGCCTGGGGCCGAGCCATTTCACACCCCCTCCCTCAGTACAACAGGTCACGTGCAGCCCTCTCTGGGACCATTGCAACGGTGGATGTCAAAACTGCCAGGAGCTGCAGCTAGACTGTTCCGGGGGGAAGAACTAGGGTACAAAGAGGAGACAAAAAGGAGGCAACTGCCTAGGGACCCAGCGATTTAAAAGGGCAGCTACCACACCCGGAGCCCGGGTTCCTTTACATCAGCAGTGCGGGCCCTGCAGACAGGGCCATCCCCACGCTGATGGACTTCCAGATGCCTTGGGTACCTGGCAGATTCCCCCCGTGATGGACGTGACTGGGTTTTCAAAGACCTCAACAGCTGAGGGGCACCCTGATCGAGTAGGAAAATCTGGTGTCATTACAAGTGCAGAGCACTTACAAATTCTGGTCTGCGTAGCAAAGTCATCTAGGCTCAGGGGAATTAGGCGCCTAAAGAGCGGGATGCTAGAGGCCTGGTTAGAGAGTCTCTTAGTATTTAGAATCGAAATACTCGCAACTACGTGGTTCTAACAACGCATGCCGCTTCCTAGGCTGTGCCTGCTTCGCTTTTCCTGCGAGTGTCCCTATCTGGCAGGGCTGGAACCAGCCTAATTATGCCACTTTGAAAGATGACTCCGCCTCACACCAAAGCCAGGAGAAGGCAAATCAGGTTTTCTCCAGGGCTGTCTGAATGAGGAAGCTTTTGTATGAAGGACTCAGCTTGGGAAGGGAGGCCAGAGCCCCACAGTTATTTGCATCTCAATGTAATCTCCGCTATGGTAATTAGTTTGCTGGAAACATTTTCCAAGCGGGGAAGCACAGATAAAGCTGTTTGCTTTTCCTGCCACTGCGCAATTATTCTTCCACTGGCCCCAGACTGGGAAAACAAAGAACCTCCAAATTCAGATCTACCCACAAAATACAGGCCCGCTCAGTGCCTCGTCTGGCTGCTGCTAGGAGTTCCCAGAAGGCTCTGGGCTTGGGCAGCTGACATCCATGCCTGCCGCGTGAGACATGCACAGGTGTCGCCCGTGTGGCTTGAGCCTGCTGGGGCACATGGGCTGGGATCAACTTGCCGGCTCAGCCGAAGTTTTCCCCTCCCCATAACTTGCTGACCTAGGACCAATTTGTAATTCACCCCCCCCATGCTTGACATGGAAGGAAACTATTGTACATGCTAGAAGTTAGGTTGGCTCTTTTTCTACCCTTCTCTGTGGGCCTCTGTCCCCTTCTCTCTGGGCTTAGCTGTATTAGAACGAGGGCTGTTTAAAATGGCAAATGTGTAACCGCTGAAAATTTCTGCGGTTACATGTTTACATGTGGGGGGAAGTGGCTCCCATGGAGCCATCTGCCCCTTCCTGCACTGCTGCCTCTGTATCAGAGGCAGCAGCGCAGTTGGGGCCAGGGGAGAGGCGACTCCCAAGGAGCTGGTGCTCACAGGGAGCTGGTTTAAAAGCCAGCTCCTTGCGAGAACCAGCTCCCACCTGCCGCCCTCCCATGCTGCTGCCTGTGATACAGAGGGAGCCGCATGAGGGGAGGGCCTGCGTGTAACCGTGCCCGTTAATCAGTGAGGCCAGGCTCATCAGTTAACCATGCATGCATTTACACTTTCACATCCCTAGTTAGAATGCTAGGCCTGCTGTCACCCAACCAGTTTAAAATCCATCTAATTAAACCCCTAATGGAAACCAGGGCTGGCCTTACCATGAGGCAAACTGAGGCAGCCGCCTCAGGTACCAGATTGTGGGGGGGCACCACACAGAGAATTGAGACCTTTCTACATTTCGGCCCAAGCGAGGGAGCAGGGGGGCGTCATTCGAGCTCCCCGCCTCAGGTGCCAAAATGTTGTGGGCCGGCCCTGATGGAAACGCACCGAAACCAATTTAAACCAAGCTCATAGTAGTGTCTGGGACTGCACTGGGCTAAACCGGTGTCAGTGCATCTACACCGGGGCTTTGCAGCAGCGCCCAAAAATGGATGGCCTTCCACCAGGGCAAAACACCGGCTTGCGGGCCTGCCCCCACCTCCCTTATCATGCAGGGTCCCACTGACGTGCAAGGAAGTTTTGCCACTGACTTCCCTGGAGCCAGGATTTTCTAGGCTGAGTTAAAATCAATCTGGGAGCTTAGCCCTGCGTCCCAGGGATGAGTTCAAGGCTACTAGACCCATTGTACAGATGGGAAGCTGAGGCACAGAGGAACACAGCTGTATTTGGGAGCTGGGCTGATTTCCCTGGGAGTTAGGCGAGTTTTCTGTTCCTCCCCCTCAGAAGCAGCCTGGAAAACAGGAACTCTGCTCACCTCGTGCCAGGCAGGCCCCCGACCGTGGGTTCAAACCAGTTCCCGCTGCTGCCCTTTCAAGGTCCCTGCACAATGCTGCACTTTCAGGGCCCCAGCTTAGGTGAGGATTACGTCTGACCCATGTGCAATGGGATCAGCCGTGCCTAGCTGCGCTTTCAGATAGGCACTGGCTCTGTGCCAATTGGATTTGTTAGGCTGGCAGCCGTTGGCTGGCGACCTGGATGGTGGATCTAGCATTGTTACGTAAGGGCCCTGGGAACACAATGAGGCCATTCTAGCATGGGAACTGGCTGGGGAGAATCCACAAGGCTCCACACTCCTGCAGAGCCGGGGGCCAGAGCTAAAACACTGGGGTTTGGGGCTCAATGGTTAGAACAGGGGACCGGGAGTCACAACCCCTGGAGACCTGTCCTGGAAACAAATCACAATCCTGCTGTAAGCTACCAGACCATGCTTCTTTCTAAAGCCCAGGAGTTCTGAGTCAGGCCACCTGCTCTAACCACTAGACCACGTTGTCCTCCCAGAGCTGGGGACAGAAGCGAAGAGTCCAGTTCTCCCTCTGCAGGATACGCATAACCCCTGCAGAAGCCAGTAGGCATCACACAGCTGAGTTCTCTTCCTGACTCTGGGAAATGGGGAGGCCTATTGGTTAGAGCAAGGTCTAGGCGCCAGGACTCCGAGGGGGGGGGGTCCAGTGCTTAGCGTGCAGGACAGGGAGCCGGGATGCCTGAGTTCTAGTCGCAGCTCTGGAAGGGAGAATAGTGGTTAGAGGAGGAGCTGGGAGAAAGGATCTCTGTTATATTCCTGGGTCTGCCACTAACTCTCGTCCTCCTCTCCCCACGCGCGGGGTGCTGGGTTTAATCACCGAGGCTTTCTAGGGCACTCACAGCTCCTTGGCTGGAAGGAAGCAAGGACGGGCTAAGAACAACCATGCCTCCTCCATCTGGGCATCTCGCGACCAGGCAGCGTCCCCAACTCTGCGCCAGGCGTGCCAATCGTGCACTTAGTCCCCAGTAGGAGACAGGCCAATTTCGGCCACTGTCCAGAGCCACCTGCTAGCCAGCGTGGGCACGGTGCTGGCAGGAAGGCTATGTGGCCTGCCCTGCAGAGCCAGCGGAAGGGAGCTGGAACCTAGGAGAGGAGGCCCTGAAGGGGAGAAAGCCCAGAATAAAATCCTCTTCCAACCTTACCTGAATACGCCCAGTGGAAACCTGCAAAGCAAGCAAAGAAAAGGATTTGGTCAGTCTCACTCTCCCCTCCCACCTGTAAGCCTGAAAGAACCCCGTTTTTCTACGGTTGACAGGTGTCCGGTTTTCGCCCGGACAGTCCAGTAATTGCGCCTCCCGTCTGGTATTTTCTGTTTTCCTCAGACAGAAGGTCAGCGAGGACATTTTCCCCCTGCCGCATCTGGTGTGGGGTTGGGAGGGAGGGGAGCGTGGGAATTTAAAGGCGCAGCGACCTTTTTTTTTTTTTTTTCTCAACAAGATCAGTCTCCTTTTTTTCCTTAACCAATTTATCCCCCCAGTCATGTTCGGGCTTTTTTGTGAAGGTATCTGGCAATCCTACCAGTTTCCCTGAGAGTCCAGGACAAAGTCTGTCAGAGGCGGCATCCCCTTTCACTCCCTCTCCTGCCATGAGATGCCCCGCAGCTGTCAAAGAGCTGCCAGGTTCCACCCCAGAGGCAGCTGCATTTCCACGTGGGGCAACAATTCTCACAAAGGGATCAAAGGTGCTGAGTCAACGTCCGCTGAAGTCAAAAGTGAGCGGTTGTCCCTGGGGCGATGGAGCAGACACCTCCTGTTGCCTACGGCTTGTTCTCCTTTGCTCTTTGAAGTTCCCTGCCTTGCTTAACTGCTCCTCTAACAGCAGCCTGGAAAGAGGTCACCCTGCTCCCGCTGCAGGATGAGCAAACAGTCCCACCCTGGCTAGCATGTTGGGCCCTGCTTGGTGTGACGGCTGCTCTGTTTGGCCAACTTGCCGGGGATCGAACCGAGCACTCCAGAGCTAATACACCCGAGCCCCCCAACCTTTCTTAGCGGGGGCTAGAACAGAGACACGGGCTCTGGGGTTTAGTCACAGAGCGGGCTCTAAGACACACCCACCTGGGGCGAGCACGCGCCTTCAGTCGGGTCTCTGAGCCGCTTTCTCCCACTCCCCCTAAAGCTCTCGTGCCCAAACTAGAAGCACATGGGCTGAGCCAAGCCAGGAGCTGGGCAAAACTAGCTCTGTTGAAAGGGCAGCGGCTCCCGGCGGCAGAGACTTGAGCTCCACCGAGGCCTCCCTGACCCGAGCTAAAATTAACCCCCCAGCTTGGCAAACGCCCTTAAAGAGCCATGTGGGGGCAGAGAGAACCGAGGCCTCCTTTGTGCTCTTCCACCCCAGGGCCAAGAATTCAAAGGCGTCCATTCTCCGCCTGCCCGGTACAGAGGGGCAGTTTCTGCCAGCACGAGGGGCAGGGCGGGGAGAACCCGGCTCAGCGTCCGCGCTCTGCTCTCTGCCCAGGATGAGGGAGAAACGTCCTTCCGCGCCTGGCATGGGGACTCGTGGTGGCATTCGGGAGGTGCGCCGCCCTTTCGTGCCCCCACCAAAATTCTCGTTGCTAAACGGGGTGCCTCCTCTTGCCCCCTCCCTGTTCCTCTGCCCTGCACCCCCTCTCTCTTCAGGCACCGAGCGCCTCTACCTTTCTGGGAAGCTGCTTTTAATGGCCCCTGTTCGGAAACAGAGAGTGGACTTTCTGGGGCCTGGGTCTTTGTGGGGTCTATTCAATTCCTAATCTTCTCATGCTAACCAGGGACAGCTGGGCCACTTTGCCCCCAGTCAAGCCACATACGTGTGTCTTCTCCTTGGGGTAACTCTTCCCCTCCCAGACAGCGACCTCACCCGGAAGTACCCACGTCAATTATAAGGCTTAGAGTGAGCGACTGTGCGGGCAAAAGGTCCTGCTAGGTCACCAGATCTGACCTCCTGCACATGCCAGGCCCAAGAACGCTTCCCCTTTCCCCTGTGCGGAGCCCAATCGCTTGTGTTCGACTCCAGCATCTTCCAGAAAGGCCTCCCGTTGTGCCGTGGGGGACCTCAAGAGCTGGCGAACCCACCGCTTCCCCGGAGGGGTTGTTCCATTGGTGAATCCCCCCTTCGGGTTTTGGTTTTTTTTTAAGTCTGCCCTTTTTTGAATCTGAATTGGTCAGACTTCAGCTTCCAGCCATTGGTTCTTGGGCTGCCTTGCTCTGCTACATTAAGCGTATCGGGTGTTCTTGCCCCTCAAAAGCACCTACCCCTCATATTCCAGTCGTCTCTTGAGTTTCTTTCTGATGCACTCAGCAGAGTGAGCTGTTTCAGTCTCCCGCTGTCTGGCACATTTTTTCCATCCCTCAGGTTTTATTTTTTCATGGAGGAGTTCTGAGATTACAAGCTCTAAGGAATCATAGAATCATAGAACATTAGAACTGGAAGGGACCTCGAGAGGTCATCCCATCCAGCCCCCTGCCCAAGGCAGGACCAACCCCAACTCAATCAACCCAGCCAGGGCTTTGTCAAGCGTGGTCTTAAAAACCTCTAGGGATGGAGATTCCACCCCCCTCCCTAGGGAACCCATCCCAGTGCTTCCCCGCCCTCCTAGGGACATAGTTGTTCCTAATATCTAACCTAGACCTCCCCCACTGCAACCTGAGCCCATTGCTCCTCGTTCTGCCATCTGCCACCACTGAGACCAGCCTCTCTCCATCCTCTTTGGAACCTCCCTTCAGGAAGTTGAAGGCTGCTCTCAAATCCCCCCTCACTCTTCTCTTCTGCAGACTAAATAAGGCCAGATCCCTCAGCCTCTCCATCTCCCACCTTGCCTATTCTCTTGCAGCCTGGCCGATTTCAGCGGGATCCATTGAGAGGTAAGGGGCGCGTTGGGCTCCATTAACAGTGGCGCTGGCTGGCCTGAGATTAGCATGTGAACGGAGGAGGTGACGTTTCTTCGCAGCCAATCGTGCGTTGAACCCTTTCAGGCCCAGACGTGAGGGGCCAGGCCCGGCGTTCCTGTGCGTCTCACGCTAGCCGTACAGCCAGTTTGCAGAGCCGAGAGGGCCGAGCGCTGTGACGCCGTTTCTTTTGTTTGTCGTGTCTCCTTTTGTTCGTGTGGGGTTAAATCCCCCCCTTGTTTACATGGCTGTGTAAATCCATAATAATGCTAGTGAAGATGGTGGAGCAACTCCAGATTTACACTGGGGTAATTTAGAGCAGGCTCTGGTCTACATGGTAAAGCAGTCCAGCGATATTTCTGCTCCTTAGATGTTGCGCCCGTAATGTCAGAGACGGCAGGACATGGATTTGCCTTATTTGCGTTTTGCTGCAGACCTCTCAGGAGTGTTTCACAGCACAAACCCAAACTCCCTACCTGGGTTTTGAGACTGAAAAGTCCGGCCATTAGGTAAAGAGATTCCCGAAAATCACATGAAATGTTTCCACTTGATGAAAAGATTCCAGAGGGAACTGTGCAAATGAAAACCAGAGAATCACTGGGAACACTCCCATCTCCTGGGACTTGGCGAGTTACTTTTTCAGGCTAAATCAGGTTTATTTAAAGGTCTGGCTGACAACTGGGGGTTGAGTAGATGAAAATTGTTGCCGAGTTTGTCTGCTTTCTCTTGACTTTTCTCCTTTTTCTTCAGAAAACTGAAAATATTTAGTCAAAACCCATTGGTTGTTTGTTTGGTTTTTTCTCTCTCCCTCTCTTTTGGGCCAATTTTAATGGGAAATTTTTCAACAACAAAAAAATCAAAATTGTCCATGGAAAAATCCCAAACATTCTCAGTCCAGCTCTACTTATTACCCGTTTGCATAAAGGCTCCTGTTCTGCCCACTTGTCATATCTCCCCTGGCACTGTTTTCGTAGTGATCACTGTGGATCAGAGTACAATGCATCCACCTGACATAGCACTTCTGTTCTATGTGTTCTACAATCACAGGGTTTGCAGCAAAAGGGCCTCCCGCTCCAAACACATTTAGATACTAAGACAGTTCAGCAATGACACCTGCAGCGCCCTTTACTTTTTTCCAAATGATATCGTAAAATCTTTACGCAGCACCATGTTGCTTTGTGAGTCAGGACAGCTGCGTGGTGTCGGATGTCACTGTGCTTCACAGCCCACTTTGCTAAACACACCAGCAGTCCAGACGGCAGATGAAAAGGTGAATTGAGAAACCCAGGAAATGACAATCTTACAGCAATTTTGGATTCACATGACTTCCCTTTAGGGTCAGTTTTCTAAACACTCCACCATTTCAAGCATCAAAGTATAGCCCACAAAAGCCAAAAATCCAGGTGAATTAAATGTACAGTACAGGTTGGACCTCTCTGGTCCAGCAACATCCATGGTCCGGCATGATGTTAGTTAGCCGGATGGCCACTTATCATGGGTGTGGCCAAGTTTCCTGCCGTCGCATAAAGTTTGTTTATAGCCACTAGTCCTGGCTCTCAGAGTTCTGTGATGTTGTTTAGCTTTATGTCTTCTAAGAGCCCTAAATGTCTTCTAAGAGCCCAGTAAGCACTGGAAGTGTTGGTCATGCTGCTAGACATGTTGTTCAGCAAATTCTCTGGTTCTACACAGTCAGGTCCCGAGGGTGTGGACTAGAGAGGTTCAGCCTATAGAATCACAGAACACTAGAACTGGAAGGGACCTCGAGAGCTCATCAAGTGCAGTCCCCTGCCCTCACGGCAGGACCAAGCACCATCTAGACCATCCCTGACAGGTGTCTGTCTAACCTGCTCTGAAATATCTCCAGAGATGGAGATTCCACAACCTCCCTCAGCCACTTATTCCAGTGTGTAACCACCCTGACAAGTAGGAAGATTTTCCTAATGTCCAACCTAAACCTCCCCCCTGCAATTTAAGCCCATTGCTTCTTGTCCTACCATCAGAGACCAAGGACAATTTTTCTCCCTCCTCCTTGTAACACCCTTTTAGATACTTGAAAAGTCAACTCGCCAGACCTCACAGGGGATCACACCCCTGGATTCATATTAATTACAGCAAATAGCCCCTTGATCACACAGAACACCAGTCACCTGACCCTATGCAACTTTCCCCACGACATTCAGGACCAGGTACCAATCACCGGTCCCCATCTTGGAAAGTGCTGAGCTTTTATCTCCTCATGAATCCAAGATGCTCCGCTCTAATGATGAGAGGTGGCTGCTGGAATAAAGGAATGTGGAACCTAAAGGACCGGGGTGGGGGGGTGTATCTAAATATGTTGCCGATATTTACATTTTCCGTGGCATTTTATGGCCCACTGAGTCTGGAGGCTATTTTAAAACACAATCAGCGGGGGATAAACCAACAGACTCCTGCAGTTCCCATGTAAGTCAATGGGAGTCAGGCACAAATATGGAAGGCAATTCAGAGCTGTGGACAGCCAGCAAAGAAGTATGCAGTAAATAACCTCAGAAGAAGTGCTGTGTGAAATGCATTGGGATGAAAGGGAAAGCTTCGGACTCTGCCGGAAAGAGCAGGCCAAAGATTAGCTCTTTCTGTGTTTGAGAAACGCTTTAACTCCTGCTGGGAAGTACAGTGAACGCCCTTCAGTTTAGCCCACAACTGAATTGCATAGGTGCTGGAACTACGGCTGCTACCACACCACCCCCTCCCCTCCCGGCTTAAAGGTTTCTATTATAAGCAGGGTGCACAGTTTGGTTCAACTGTTCTCAGCCCCCCGGCCCCCCCAGTATACACTTTGTTCCAGGCCCCCCTGATCCCAGTGTAATGTCTCGGGAGCAGGCAGTTGAGGGCTCCAGCCCGCACCCACTAATGTCCATCAGGTCTGTAGGGAATAAGCCAGCAATCCTGGCTCTTTGCTGAAGTTCTGCGGGTCCCTGTAAAGCAGTGTTTGCTCACGTCTGCCGCCCAGCCCAAAGCCTTTGCTGTGCCGTTTGTTTGGGGGAACTGGCTTCTAAAGCGAAACAAAAGGAACATCCCCTGGGAGCTGGAGCAGCGGCCCCATTGTGGCCACAAGAAAGGAACGGAGGGCTGCAGGCGTTGGGGTTTCCAAAAAAAAAAATTCAGCCACCCTCTGCCTCCCACCTCCCCCCACCTTCCCAGTAGCACCCAGACTGTGGAAAGACTGAGCTGTGCAGGTCATCCTTGTCTTTAAAAGCAATGCCACTTACCATGACTTGCAACCAGGGCGTGGGAAAAACTCTGCAGGATTAAAGTCAGAAGCATCTTGCAAAGCACTGAGCCGTGGCAGGTGATTTAGGGAGGAAAGAGGGAGGAAGCTGATTTTCGGATAATAAATAGGCCCTGGAGAGGCTCCCTGCCTCCTCTTCCTCAGCACAGATGGCTGCCCCGGCAGCTCTGAAGTCTGGTGGATATTCTCCACCTTCCACTTGACTTCAGAACAGAGACCTCATGCCACTCAGCACTGCCATTCAGGCGGTCAGGCAGGGGCGAGCAGTTTTTAAGGTGGCTCAGGGAGGCAGCTCCGGGCCAGCCCTGGCTGGTGTGCTCAGCTCCTTAAATACTTTGTCCTAACAATGTTTGCGTTGTGGGACTTCACAGGAGGCATCTGGCCAGGCTCGGAGCCCCGGCCAGCCAAATCGCTTTTGCGAATTTATTTTCTTTCAACTGGATTAAAAAAAAAAACCCCACACACACACTACCCACCCCAAGAATTCAGCAGCAGATTTATCAAGGCAGGAAGGGCACATGCCACATCGGGACACATGGAGAGCAAGGATCTTTAAAGGGCATCCTGCAGCCAACACAACTGACAGCCGACCACGTTCCACGGCACCTCATGTACTAGTACCCTTGGTCACACAGAGACCACAAGAGCGGCTCTAGAAAGGAAAGCTGAGGCATGATTCGGATTGCAGCTTAGGGACGTGGGGAAACCCAGGCCTGCTCCATTTCCCTTGGTTGGCCTGGAATAAGCCTCAGCGTTGTGCTGCGCCTCAGTTTCCCCATCTGTACAAGGCGGGTAGCAGCCCTGCCCTGCCTCCCACAGCCTGGCAGCCTTAGAAAGACTATGGTTATGTCTCCACTCTGCACCTTACGGCTTTGCCGCCCGACGTAGTCTGTGATGGGCTCAGGACTTACGGGGGGGGGGTAAACCCCAGCCACATAAACAAAGGGTTAACAAGAGTCTTCAAGGTTTGATTCCCCATGTGCCTGTCTGGCTCAGGAGATAAGGCATTGCCCGGAGGGTGGTGGGTTCTAGCCATGCCCCTGAGAGCCACTGGACTACCAACACAGGATATAATGAACCGCCTAGAAGTAAGGAGATGGGGAGGGTCCCACTGAGTAAGGGTCCTTGTGAAGGTAGGGTTTCTGCATTGCTTAGGGTATTTGCTTGGGGGGCCGAAGGGTGAATGAGGTGAGGCTGGGTTTGTCTATTACAGTCAGCTGGGCCTTGCTCCTGAGGGAAGGGAGTGAAAACGTCAGGGGAAGGAGCTGAGGCGCTGAGGGCATGTCTACACAGCAGTGCAACACTCAACTTCAGCTATGTCAATTGTGCAGCTGAAGTTGAAATACCTTTACTCAGCTTTTGGCGCCGTCTCCACAGCAGGAGGCGGAAGGGAGAGCGCTCTTCCCCCGACTGCCCCTACTCCTCGGGAAATGGGGGTTACAGGAATCGGAGTAAGATGTCCTCCAGCTCGCCATGACTTCAAAATAGCGGCTTGCTGTGTAGACGCACTCTGTTATTCCAGAATAACGTCAGTGTAGACGTAGCCTGAGATAATTCGGTTTCTCTCACTCTGGGGCTATGTCTCTACTGTAGCCTTTTTGCGCAAAAACATATGCAAATGAGGCTCAGCGTGGCATATCGCCGGGCCTCATTTGCATCATTAATGAGCGCCTGTTTTTACACAAGAGGCTTTTGCACAAATTAATTATGCAGATGAGGTGCAGTGATATTCCATGCTCAGCCTCATTTGCATATGTTTTTGCGCAAAGAGGCTACAGTATAGACATAGCCTGGGAAAAAGACTATAGAGCAGCTGGATGAGAGAAGACAGACCCCGGGAAAAAGGTTCCAGGCATGTTGCCCTGGAGCCAGGGCCGGATTAAGGCATGGGCTAGCCGGACAGCTGCCCAGGGCGCCAACCTATGGGGAGCGCCCGGCTCCCGGATCGCGGGCTGCAGCAGCTTCCAGCGGCCACCCTGCAGCAGCCGCCCAGGGCAGGGGCCGTGTTAACCCCCACAGCGCCGGCCAGCAGCGCCCTTCCTCCCATGGCCGCGTGGCCCTGCACAGCCAGGCTCGGCCTGCCCCAGGTGGCCCCGGGCTGTGCACCAGCAGCGGTAGCCAGGCTGGGCCAGGCCGGGCATGTGCATCCAGCCGCTGCCAGCTCCATGCGCCCTCCCCCATGTGCCGGCGGGGCCGTGTTTGCATCCTCCCCCAACCCGGGGCGCAATTCAACTGTCTGCTCGGGGCGCCGGAATGGCTCAGTTCGGCCCTGCCTGAAGCATCATGATCCTGGAACTGGAGCAGGAGAGAACCCGGCAGGAGCAAGCATTCCAGCCCAGAGGGACGGAGATTGGTTGTTTTATCTGGGGTCTCGCTGTGGGGAACCCCCTGGCCTGAGAGAAGGGCAGGACTGCAGAGGAGGGGCAGAGTTGTGTGGGATGCTGTTTGTATGGGACATCACCCTGCATGGGGGCTGTGAACCTGACTTTGGGGTTTCCTGGTTTTCAGAGGTTTGAGGGGCAGAGTTAAGGGGGTAGTGTGCTGTGAACCTGACTTTGGGGTTTCCTGGTTTTCAGAGGTTTGAGGGGCAGAGTTAAGGGGGTAGTGTGCTGTGAACCTGACTTTGGGGTTTCCTGGTTTTCAGAGGTTTGAGGGGCAGAGTTAAGGGGGTAGTGTGCTGTGAACCTGACTTTGGGGTTTCCTGGTTTTCAGAGGTTTGAGGGGCAGAGTTAAGGGGGTAGTGTGCTGTGAACCTGACTTTGGGGTTTCCTGGTTTTCAGAGGTTTGAGGGGCAGAGTTAAGGGGGTAGTGTGCTGTGAACCTGACTTTGGGGTTTCCTGGTTTTCAGAGGTTTGAGGGGCAGAGTTAAGGGGGTAGTGTGCTGTGAACCTGACTTTGGGGTTTCCTGGTTTTCAGAGGTTTGAGGGGCAGAGTTAAGGGGGTAGTGTGCTGTGAACCTGACTTTGGGGTTTCCTGGTTTTCAGAGGTTTGAGGGGCAGAGTTAAGGGGGTAGTGTGCTGTGAACCTGACTTTGGGGTTTCCTGGTTTTCAGAGGTTTGAGGGGCAGAGTTAAGGGGGTAGTGTGCTGTGAACCTGACTTTGGGGTTTCCTGGTTTTCAGAGGTTTGAGGGGCAGAGTTAAGGGGGTAGTGTGCTGTGAACCTGACTTTGGGGTTTCCTGGTTTTCAGAGGTTTGAGGGGCAGAGTTAAGGGGGTAGTGTGCTGTGAACCTGACTTTGGGGTTTCCTGGTTTTCAGAGGTTTGAGGGTAGATGGACTGGACATGCTGGGAGGACACAGGGCACAAAGGGGCAGCCTTAACTCCCCTTTAAGGAATCCGTTTGGCAATGAATTTTGAATTCTCCTTCCACGCTCAGCTCTGCCACGAGGAAGACGGGACAGGAGAGGAAGATGGAAGGCAAGTCAGACACCGATGCCCTAGAACATGCTACTGAACAATAGGTTGGGAGGGACAAGGCAGGGGCCCTGCTAGGAGTGTTTCCTCTCATTTTTCCCCATCCATGGGTGTGTAACCCCCAAGGAGATGACTTGGATTCCCGGGGCCTTGTCTGCTGGCAGCTCAGGGAGAGGCTCTGAGTTTGCCTTGGCTCCCCCTCCCTACCAGGGCCAGAGTCTGCCAGCAACCCACGGGGAGTGAGATGCCCCTCCCAGGGGGAAGGAGAGACCATTGTTGGGGGAGTCTGGAGCCAGCAGGGCAAGGGGAGGCTGGCTGTGTGGGAACTAGTAAGCCCCAGGCCTGCATGCAGGGTCCCCCTGAGAACTGGCCTCTAGGGACCTGATGGCAGGATCCCTCAGCTGGGTTTATGTCTCCCCTGTTGATTCCCAGTTGTGGAGTTTGCTGGGAGGCTTCCCCAGCCAGGCTGAGTTGGCTCCAGCTCCCCAGGTGAGACGAGTCACCGCACGGTCAGCTGGGCTCTAGCAGCAAGTTCAGGGCTGCTGCCTGCTGGGTGGGTCTGAATGCTGGGCTGGGAGGCTGTAGTTTTGAATTTTGGTGCAGTTGTGTGGCCTGCACCTTGAGCCCTGCACCCCTTCGCGGGGAGGGGACATTCTGGGACCGAAGCAGCCTGGTTCCTGCCTGAAGAGGATCCCTGTGAGAAGAGAGCAGCTCTTTGCAGAGACCGAGTCATCCCTCAACCTGAGGTCATTCCTGGAGTGTGTGAGTGCACCAATTTTTAGTTAGTAAGTCAGGGAATTTGGGGATTTTATTACCTGCAGCATATTTACCCTGTGGAGGGATGTCCTGCCTTCTCCCATGTGTGAGTACTTTGGGCTGTACTGGACCTAGTCAGCCCCGCTGCTAAACCACTGCAGAGAAGGATTTTGTGGTCAACAATCATCAAGGGCCCCAACAAAGTACACGTACCCACGGGACACTAACCTCACAGTTGCTGGGCACCGGTGACCCTAAAAATAGTGTTTTACCCTCTTCTGTTATAATTGTCTCCTGTTTAATATAATTGTGTTTATTATAGTGTACAGGCAGTCCCAGGGTTACGTACAAGATAGGGACTGTAGGTTTGTTCTTAGGTTGAATTTGTATGTAAGTCGGAACTGGTACATATTGTAGGGGAAACTCTAGCCAAACATTTCTCCAGAGCTCAGTTTTATTCTCCCACACCTCACTTCCCTCAGGCCTTTATTCTCAAGCTGAGGTGTCTGCTGAGAAAAGCCGCTCCGCGTCTCCCTGGTCTGCTGGGAGGGGGGACGCTAGCTTCGCGTCTCCCTGGTCTGCTGAGGGGAAGCAGCTAGTGCTGTGTGGTCAACAGTCATCAAGGGCCCCAACAAAGTCCGCGTACCAACGGGACACTAACCTCACAGTTGCTGGGCACCGGTGACCCTAAAAATAGTGTTTTACCCTGTTCTGTTATAATTGTCTCCTGTTTAATATAATTGTGTTTATTATAGTGTATGTGTTTGTGCTATTTTCTGGGAGTCTCCAACTATCTGGCAAATACGTGGGGATTATCCTGGGCTAGAATTTTCCTCCCAAGCTGCCCTGGTGACCCTGCTAGGAAGGAGTGAAGGGGGGTGGAGGCACCGCCAAGTACATCAATCAGAAAGAATAAAATTGAGTGGGTGGCAGGATCCAGAAGAACCCAGACCTATCTATCCATACCTGAAAGGAGATTGGCTTTAAAAGAAGGTAACCAGGTGGAGAGGTGGCGCTACATGTGGAATAAATGTTATGTGCACTGAGACATATGTGGGTGTGCACCACCAGTAGAAACACATACTGATGGCTGTGGGTGCTCTGCTAATCAGCTGGGCAGCATTTGAATCTCTCGTGGGTGGCTGTCTAAGCGCTCAGCTTAC